CAAATGTTGGAAGATATCCAAGATTTCCACTCCCTCTTGAACAGTCGTTATTGTATCAAATGCAGAGGAGATAAGATTTTGAACCATAACTTCTAAATCCTTCACACCAGCACGAAACCTTAAAAACAAAAGCATCAGTATTGAATTACCATGTATAGGAAAAAACTCATAATGCACAATCCAAAATTGAGCAAACTACATTGTGTAATCTCTAAAAAATGACCATGAAGGTGTCTTGTCATCAATGATGAGCATCATTATCAAAGTTAGCCCAAAATATGAGTAAATAAGGCAACAACAAAAGCAACTTTGTTTGTACTACAGTGAGTCTTTCTTTCCATTCAATTTCATGAACACAATAATATTGACAATTATAACGACATTCAACAAACATCACATTGTCATTATTCAGGACCACAGTTATTTTCTGTTTCTTTTAAAGCAATTTGCTTTCACTTACCTGTTATAATCATCATGCCATGTAGTTGCCTAGTTAAAAAACAGAAATATTTGAAAGTAATTTTATGACTAACACTTAACTCACTGAAGTGGTATTGATTAGTGCTCAATATTTGCACAACAACAAACCATTTTTCTGGTAATTTTAATACAATTGCAATCGCCTCCTGATAACTTGAACCCTTGCTAACTCAAACCAAGATAGATTTCCCCTCAATTTCCTTCATACATTTACTGTAATTTTACCCTTGGTAACGCAAACCCTGGATAACTCGAACCTCCCACTAACTCAAAGTAATTTTTCTTTCCCTTCCGATCATTTCCATACAATTTTACCCTTGATAACTCGAACAATGATTTTAAGTGCAGGACAAGGCAAAAAAAGCAGTGAACTCCAATTCATTAAACACTGAATTTATTTCAAACCAACCGTGTATAAATTCTTTGTCTTTACTTTTTTGTTAATCCAATTTAAATACAATGTTTAGCCCTGTACTGATTAATCAAGCTTTGTTGTTTAATTCCTCTTTTAAAATAGCAAAATTTTTCTTGCTGCCAGCCCTTGAAGTGCAGTGTGCATGCTACTTGCATTCCTCCCCCATCCCATACCCTTACTTCTAGTTATTTGCTTCGCACTCCCGATAACTCGAACTTTTTTTCAATTTCCCTTGAAGGTTTGAGTTATCGGGAGTCGACCGTACAATATTATTGTACACCAGGTCCCAGTTGTTCAAAAGATAGCACTATCCAACAGATAAATCAATATCTAGAAGTATAAGGAAAACTGATCTCGCTTTTTAGTGGATAAAGTGACTTATCCACTGGATAGCGTTATCCTTTGAAAATTCCCGTTTACAGTCTTTCTGTTCCTTTAAAATTTGGCCTTTAAGACACTTCTCCTCCGCCAATTTGTGAGTAAGGATATTTTCTGAAACTACACACACCGTTTTTCTATTTTGTTGCTATAGTAAAGTTACTATTCATACCTTGACATCTAAAATGGTTTTCTTCACATCTTTTAAAATCTGCAGATTCTTTTCAAATGTAGCTTCAATCTCCAACAGACTCCTAACAACCTCTGGGCCTCTAACACCTTGAAAGCAGGGTAATGGACTCTTCTCTCCATCATACATTCTGGCAAAGTGGATTTGCCCCTCACACACCTAAAATCACAATATATATAATTTATCCTTGTTATAAACATGCCCAGTTTATTGTAGCTCATCATTACAAACCAGGGAATCGCTAAAATGTTCCTGCAAGTACAGATAAAAGGGGTTATTACAAACAACTGGTATGCTGAGTATTATCACACACCTGACAGGAGATCAAGTTACAACAATAAACCATCAACTAATGATAACTTTGAAACAGCTTGCCACTCACTCATCTCACACCTGATTATGCATTTTTTTTTGTTTTTGAGATGCAATAACATCCTAGTTCTCTTGAATAGTCCAGACAGAACAGAGTTTATATACCTCAAGAAGATCTTTGCATCGCTGCACAAAAGCATCAACTTGGGCAAAAATACTGCTCTGATCAAGAATCCATCTTTCACTTGACAGCTTAGAGTGCATTCTACTGATCTGCATAACAGAGAAAGAGAAACTTTAAAACCCATTTTATACTTTTCACACAGAATATTAACACCACCTGACATGCCAGCTGGTAAAATGTATATGACTGTATCCCTCATAAGTTACGGATGTACATTAGTTTTCAACAAAAATAAGGATGCTACTTTAATACAGAGCTGTTAGGGTAAAAGTCCCAGGGGGAGGGGGGGGGGGACTCCCATATGAAACAGAGACGGGGATGCTCGTCGGAAATTTGGAATTTAACCCCTAAAGGAGACCATCTGGGCGTGGCTTAAGCAAATTTTGACCCCTAAAAGAGACCGCTTAAAAACACACAAATACGACATGCAATGAGTTTTAATGATATAAAGACATAATCATCGAATGCTTTTATCTAATAGTAGTTTTTAAAAGCATTGTCATAAATCTCAAGTTCTTTGCGGAACCCTAAACGAGACCTTGGCGGCTGAAAATATTGGTGCTTTGCCCGGAACACCCTAAGCGAGACCAAAATCCAAAATTTACACCCCTAAGCAAGACGACGAGCATCCCCGTCTGTTTCATATGGGAGTCCCCCCCCCCCCCGGAGTAAAAGTCCAACAAGCAACATGGCCTTAAAATAGCCAGATATGTCACATGAAATGGCAACAAATGAATTCAAACAAAGGTGGCCAGGTTGAAATGGTGACAGCGATGAATACAAGCACAAATACAAAAGTATAAATACCTACAGGGGCAATGGCTTCCTTGCCAACATGTGAAACCAATGGTTTTGAACTTCAGACTAGGGACCTACATACCCTCTAAGATAGCCTCATTAATCGCTTTTGGTCATAAAAAATTAACCATATTCAATAATGCAATTCAAAATTAATACATCAGAATCATACCTTGCTGTAAGTACTCTTCCAAGATTCACAGCACTCAATGCTCTCCTGCAAGCCTTGCATACTTGTCTTGATTCGACCCTCAAATATATCATCCAGTGATATCTTGGTGCTGCATCTCTTGATAATCTCATTACTCACCTATGCGGGGCCAATGATAACTGTTGAAAATCTACTTTCTATAAGTGGGGTACTCCTATAAATATAAGATAGGTGTGTCCTTCCCATAGGACCTTTCACCCTGACCCTATAATAAGGCTGTCAGACAAACGAAAACTGATACCCTATATAAAACCCAAACCTGAAAAATGCACCCTATTCAAGGGGGGAATATTAAAAAGTACAGCAATGCAAAAACAGGGTTGTCATTAAGAGCCAGGGGCCGGGGATTTCCCCTGGCTACTAAGAGAGTGGCCCCCGGCTACTTTTTTCATTGGAAAATAGAAGAAAAATAGAACTGAAAGAAATCCCTAGCCATTTGATTCTCCGCCTACTTGTTGTATTTACCCGACAACTTCAAATCTAGTTACAACCCTGCAAAAACCTTCATTAAATCACTTTCCTAATACTCTAGGGGATAGCTGAGTCGTAACACATAATTTGTTTCTCGTGTAGCTAAGCATTTTTACACACTTGAATTTTATAGCTGATTCAATTTATGTACCCTATCTAAGGAATTACACACCGGGAACACAATGCAAAAACGGGTAAAAATGATCTACCCTTTTTAAGGATCAAGACCCTCAAAAACCATATGCTATCACCAGGACAAACCCACGAGCTGCTGTATGTTCAGACAAGGCTTCACTTACTTTGCACCCTATTCCACCATATGCTTAACTTTACCAAAAACTAAATCTACCTTTCTGAGAAGACCAGTGAGTCTCTCTCTACTCTTGTAATGTTCAGAGTTCATCCAGATCATACGAATAATGTTCAGTATTTTTGACAACATGCCAGGAATGTCTTTAGGTTGAGCCTGAGCAAGTTCCTCACAAGGTCCTTTGAGTGTTGACAGGAACTTTAAATTACTCTGTGCCTGTGCTGACCCATCCTGGTAGCAAACAAAACATTTGCAAATGATCAATAATAATAGGCTCTTTGCAGCCATTCATTCAAGTGGTACAAACCTGCTATCAAATGTTGGAATGCAAGGGATGTACTGTAACAAGACAAACAAGAGGCTTACATCATTTAAAGTGGTTCTAATTTTCATCATTTGTCTTATCCCACTACATCCCTTACTCTCCAGTAAGATGAATATTTATTGATCATTTCTTACAAAATAATCAAACAAAGGCCAGAAAAACACAGATTTTTTTTGTTATTGTTTTTTCTTTAATCCAAGAACACCACAACTCATACACAAAGAGTTAACTATAGGGTCACATACAAGTTTATTAGTCTAAGGAAAGCAAGGGGAGGCATTCTTAACAATATTGTTCATCAACAGTGTTCAAACATTAACTGAAACAGTATCATTCTATAGTCATTATTTTCCACATACCGTAAAAAATGCCCCCAAATACAAAGTAAAACAAAGCTAATACAGTACATTTGCTTCCAACTATAAGGCTAGCCCAATCGATTTTGAAACGCAAATATCCCTTTGTAGATAAGCCCCTCCAAAAATAAGCCCCTCAAAAAGGGCCTTTAAAAAATATAAGTCCCGGGGCTTATTTTTGGAATGTTACAGTATATAATCTGCCTTCTTAAGCTACTTAAAATCATTAGTCACGCATCAGGACTTTGAAATATCAGTTTGCAATAAAGACACAAACCTGAATAAGCTTTGAAAGTTTGAGAAATGGTGCAACATAAGAACTCTTGGAATGCTCCAAAACGGACTGTATTCTTTTAACTCCTGGTTTGTCCAGCTGTTCACTAATACCTGAGAGATCGGCACAGCGACTACGCCAGAACTCAATCTCTTCTAGTGGCCCAGAATTTTCTGCTGCCTCAAACGTGTCCTGACTACTTAGCACTTCCTTAATTTGCCGTGTCCAGTGAATCATCGCAGCTGAAAGCCAAACATTATATAAAGTACACTGATGAAACTGATGTATTTGAGAGCTACTAAATGATCAACAGCTTGTCTCAGGAGCCATTCACACTTACCAATAGTATTCAGAAGGATCTACACTGTAAATGAGATCAAACTCCAACAGATCAAAATGACACCACCTTCTACGAATACTAAATTCTGTATTTCAGATGAATCTCAACAGTGTTCGAGAGTGCAGTTATGTTGTATGTTAAATCTGTTATCAGGTTAAACCAGGGGTCAATTTAATAAAACTTTTACAAGGTTAGTGTTTTTTACAAGAGTATGTAGCTATTGTTTTAGGGTCCGAAAACAATAGTAATTGACCCCAGTAGTAAGCCTAGTTTGATTCACAGTCTCATTACTTTCCTAGCTTTACTTACTTCTAGGAGACATAGGAAATTCTGGTTTAACATGGAAATGGGTTTCACCTACAATATTTTATACTGGGGTTGCACAATTGGATAAGTCAAAGTGGTAACAGTGTGTGGCCCCTGAGTTACAAAACACTATGGTTATAAAAACAACATTATAATGAAATGTTTCTTACTTTCCAGACGTTGCACAAATTCTTTACTCTTGGCTGCCTCTTCAATAGAAAGCCTTGTTCCTTCATTTGGGACGTATAATACTGTCTTTCCCTGCATCTTGTAACGAGTGTCTGTTAAATTGGCCATAAACTTGTGTAGTTGAGCTGAGAAATCATTTTTAATACCTTATTTGTGATTAAGGGTAATAATACTTCTTCCTTGAATAAATAACATCAACTATTTTTCAGCAATAAGGTACAACAACATTGATCTTTGATACCAGGGGCTGGTTGAAAATTTCATAAAGGTAGCATCATATCTTTTTAACATTTTAAAGGACAAGTTCACTCCAGAAGGGACATTTTTCTAATCAAAAATAGAGAGATTACAGCACCTCTAGTTACTGACCATTTTCTGAGTCTCCAAGTTCTATCAAATTATTATCCAAACATTGTTAAAAATTATTCGGTAATCATGAGGTGCTATTTTTATCATACTGAGCTAACTGGTCCTCAGAGCTGTCATTAAGGCCTGTAAACTGTACCACCTGTCATGGCTGATCTCACTAATCCTTGTCTTGATTCTATGAGTGATCACAGTGAAAAGCTTAAGATTACACTGTAAATTTTTTGTGAGATCTTTCAGGTGAATTGTGATTGTTACAGCTGCTTCAAAACTTGTTGACAGCCCTTGGTCCTCCTATTCACGAAGTCATTCTGCCAATTGGCAGGAAATTCAAGTGGCTGTTTGCAAGTAGCCACTAATGAGTTTCCTACCAATAATTGACATAATCCTTGATAAAAGGGTCTATACACCTCCGACATTAAGAATTATTTACTCGCCCTTTCTTTACACATAAGTCTTTAGTAGTAATATTATTACTAATCAATATTATCAATATTAATATTAACATTAATTATCAAAAAGGATACTATCTGGCCAAGATTTATTTCCAAAAAACAAAGGGGCATACACATTTGTCATCAATCTCAGTAGACTTTCAATATGGTTAGCTTTGATTGTACCAAACTTCAATTTCTGTTCAATGTTATCAGGTGTGATGACTGCATTTTCAAACCTGATCATGTACGTCATTTCTTCAACAGGATGGGGAGGGACAGACAGTGCCACTTGTAATCCAAGTAGCTTGTCGACATAAACCACTAACAGCCTGTGAGTGTAGTCCCCTAGGAACTTGATTATAGTAGCATCATGCTCTGCTGTCCACATGTCAGCTTTTAGCGCACTTAAGGTGACTCTTTCCTTAATCAATGGTACCTTAAAAAGGTAAATAATCATAATTCTTCATAAGTACAATAAAGATTACTGGATACGATCCTTATTAAACACATTTGCAGAATACCAAACCACTTTCAAGCTGTATTCCTGAAATAACTGAATATGTTACAGGTCAAAATTAAATACAGGTTAAAATTGTTAAACCATGTTGATTATCAATTTCCTTTGTCTCCTAGCCCTAATTATTTAACCTGAATATACAAGTAATTTTGACCTGTAAAATATCCACTAATTATTACACTTTGTACACACTATCTATCTTCTCATTGGCTAAGAGCCTACCGTTAATTTTGGAAATCTGCGCAACCTACAAATTAGTCAGTTATCTGCTAGCAGATAACTGACTAATCTGTAGGTTTTGCACACAATGCATGATTTCCAAGAGCAATGTCAAATCAGTTCCGTGCGACGGTGCATTTGTTGTTATTTATTTCAAAACAATGTATAATAAAACAATTCTTAGATTCGGTTTTTATGATATCCGGAAAAATCAAGGTCGAGGTAAGTGTTATCAGCCAAAAGGCCGAGGCTGATGACACTTACCTCGACCTTGATTATTCCGGATATCACAAAACCTCATCCAATAATTTTTTATCATTACCAGTTGCTTCAAAGTGGCATGAAAAGCACGGTCAAAACTAGAATTAAAGCTTTGTCTTAACTCAATGTATCTGTGTAAAGCTATGCCCATCAGACACATCTCCAGCTGCGCTTAGAGCACATAACCCATTCAGGCTGATCTCACGGTAGCTTAAACTATAGTCCTTTAGATCTAAGAGATTGAAGTACGAGTATAACGCGTACTTCAATCTAAAGCTCTCTTCCATGATCAAGCCATTTTTCCATAGTTGCTCAGATCAAGATCAAGCCATTTTTCTCTAGTTACTCTCACCATTTCTGCTGGTTCAAATTCTCTCTCGCCTTCCGATCCACCACTGCCGTGACCAGGAGAGACCCTGTCAACTTCCAAACCATTCTCAGACGAAGAGTTAGACACGCCATTTTTGTTTTCATCTGGGAGTGCTAGCGTGGAATCCGTCACTGTTACTGCTCCTGCAGCTTCAGAGGCAACATCTGAAGATCCACCTTGCAAGCTCGTTGCGTCTTCGCGGTCTAAATCCATAGTTTAAGCATAATTTTCTTGCAGTGGCTAGGTGAAATGAACAAAAATATTGCAAACGCAGTCTGAATTCAACACTTGCAAATTCGTTAAAATACAGTCTGTACCTCTTTAAAGGGTTCGGAAGCTTTCCGCTGAAATATTAGCCTGTTTTAGGTCTTCGTTTTCGTTCTGAATTATGAAACAGTGGCCTTGATCAAGAGCGCTGATGTTGTTAGACAGACAAGACCGCCATTTTTACTCATAAATGTCATAGCAACAACTACCTCGTTTGTGTGTTGCAAGAGTTCCCTCACCAGGATAGGGTGTGCAACGGAAAATAAGCGAAAGATCAAAAAGACCGTGAGGAAAAGACCCGTGCCCGTGATCCGTGAAGAAAAGACCCGTCGAAATCTTGGCAATGAAATTATATTCCTAACTGTAAAACCAGCCTTGCTTCTCTCTGTTGTTCATAAATTTCAAAGCTGATTAGACCCTATTTAGACAAGGTCTCCCATTCCATTTTGTGCCGGCTTGGGTAACCTGTGGTTTCGATAAAAATAAAAAACCCGAGTAAAATTACTTGCGTGGGTTGGACCTGTGCATATAGCAGGGGTCAGGCCGCGTTGAATGGAATGATGAGTGTCCTTACTTTTCAACTTTATTCTTAGCAAGTTAAGGCGACGTACTCCTTTTTAAAAATGCCCAAGAGTGAGTCGAGGTCTCGCTCTAGAAGTAAGAGCGGAAGCCCGCGCCGAAAACACAAAAAAGAACGCAGCTACCGGCGACGATCGCGAAGCGGCTCACCAGGTTCGTCTTCCTCTAAGAAAAGAAACCGTGATGGCTCTCCTCGCCGTCGCTCTCGATCACCAAGAAGGAAGAGGCGATATTCAAGAAGCAGGAGTCGTTCTCCAAGCGTTGATAGATTTGGTAGATCAATAGTAAAGAGGAAAGCGGACGACTCTGAATCCAAACGGAAAGAGGAAGAAGAAAGATTACTCGAAATGGAACGGCAAAGAAAAATGTGAGACTATATCTGCTTCGTTTAATTTCTCTTAGTTTTTTTTTCACATTTCCCTTTATCCTTCAAAGGGTTGCTGTAACGAGTCTTTGTTGGAGTAGATTCTTTTTGAACGCCGAATGAATCAAGTTTAATGATTGGGGTACGGTTCCTAGAAAACTGAGTTAATCAATTTCCAATTCAATGACCCCAAATGAACTTGTTTCACTCAGTTTCCAAGCCCCACTTAAAGCTTCAGAGTNTTAATCAATTTCCAATTCAATGACCCCAAATGAACTTGTTTCACTCAGTTTCCAAGCCCCACTTAAAGCTTCAGAGTCATTTGGCCTTCCGCAAAATACGCCTGTCGGTTTATCTGGAGTCACGTTGCACGATTGAATTTTCTTGTCCTGAGGTCCCTATTAAAAAAGGAAGTCCTTGTTAAAAGCCAAACATTTGAACACAAAAGCGAATGCATATTGGAATCCACCGAGGAGCACAACAACAGGGAAATCTAGTTCTTTTGACCCAGCTTCCAGCAGATTTTTACTAACAATTATTTTTCAAGGCTTAATGATGTTGAAGCAGTGATTTTTCCCATCAATCAAACCAAAACTGATTTCCTAAAAATGTAACCTCCAGATTTTTCAAAGCGCCGTATTATTCAAACATTTTTCCCAGGAAGTTTGGAAATACCAGGATTTCTCTGTATAACCCGAAGAGAAGAACAACAGAAGTTTTAAGCCTGTATACAACTGCCACCTTCGCAGCAATATGTGGTGGCATTTGTGTAGATGTCTCTGTTTAGTACATGTGCAGGTGGGGGTGTATAATTTAAATCTACCTTGCCAGTCCAACTTTGACTGTAAGAGAGAAATCTGTGGACAAGGTCATGAGCCTTTCTGTGAATATTGTGAAACTTGGTTTAGACTTGATTCTCAAAAATTTCACTACTGTTTTGGAAGTAAAGAACAATGGGGGGTTTTTAATCTTGTGTACATCACCTCTTTCAGGGCAACATTGATGTTTGTGGCCTTTTTCGGCAGGTCATATTTGTTCAGGTTGGGCTGTATCATAGTTCCTAACAGAAGAGTGAACCAATTTCAATGTGCGATATATGACATATGTATTTGCTGGTCCAACTATTTGTTCTAAAGAGATAAATCCGTGGAGAAGCTCATTACTGTTTGCAACTCAAATGTTGTAAAAATTTGGCTTTAGATTTGGTTTGCAAAATTTAAAGAAAATTGTCTGGAAGTAGGGACTGACAACTTACACTGAACAATATCATTTTTTTATTTATCTTCTTTATGGCTATCTCTGATTTACTGCAGGGTTTAATCTGCTTTTATTTGCCATCATGTTTTCATTCTAGCCGTGCAACAGAAAAAGAAAAGATGATGATAGAAGAAGAAACACAGAAACGAGTGGAGGAACTTGTAGCTAAAAGAGTTGAAGAACAGCTTGCAAAAAGGAAAGATGAGATTGATGCTGAAGTTATGAAACGAGTTGAAGAAGCTAAGACAGTAATGGAAAAACAAATGGTTGAAGAATTTGAAAAGCGGCAACAGGAGCAGCTCGAAGAACAACAAATGAAAGAGGTTAATGATATTCATTAGATAGTAATGTATCAGTTTG